ATGTAAGTTGCACTTTAATGAGTTATAGATAAATTTGAACCTTTGGTACTTCAATGATTTCTGATTAAATTTTCAATTTTAAACAATACGTATTATTGCTATTGTTAAAAACAACTTTAAGTTTTAAATACATTTTATATCATAGTTATTTTGATCAACATGGATCTGATTGTCATCAAGTATAAAATGTATAACATATTCTGAACTAAAATTCATTCTTCATTAGGATCTTATTGTTTAAAAAGGTAGATAAACAGGGGAGAAGGTACTTACAGCATAGATGCAGAAGATCCGGCCTGTAGTCATTGGCTACGATTCGTTAATTCTCCCGCCAAATATCAACAGGAAAATGTCGTTCCTATCACGTGCGAGGGCATCATTTTCTATATGACGTCACGCGATATAGAGCCGGGTGAAGAGCTTTTTGTCTGGTATGGGGATGGATATGGGAGGTTTTTAGGCGTAAACCGCATACATCCGGGTAATGAAACAATACATTTTATGGTTAATTGTTTCCATCCGGGTATTTAAACAATCTACTTATCAGATAACTTGACCATATACAATGTGGTCATTAAAACATTTTTATGCCCGTGTGAAAAAAGTTTCGGGGATTCATGGTGTTTTTCGTGTCCGTCCCTCTGTCTGTCTGTCTGTCTGTCTGTCTCTCTCTCTCTCTTTATCTTTCTTTGTGTGTCTCTCTGTCTGTTTGTACGCAGAAACTTTAATGCTACCCATAGCTTTTGATTTAGTGGAGCTATGACTATCATATTTCACATGTGTATTTTTTGTGACAAGACCTTTCCTAGGGTACCACATAACTTGACATTTTGACCTTGACCTAGGAGTTTGACCCAGTTTTACATAAAAATCCAAACTTTTACTTTGGCCATATCATTTGAACATTGGATACCAGGGTTGTTATAATTTACATATAATTCACATATATATTTTTGTTAAGAGACCTTTCATTTTATACCAACAACTTTGACCTTGGAGATTATAACTTTGTTGTAACCTTGGTCATATCTTTTGAACGGTAAGGCCTAGGGCTTTCATATTTCACCTAATTGATCCTTGTGACAAGAACTTTCATTTGATATTAAAATCCTTGACCCTTTGACCTTGACCTTGGAGTTTGACACATTTTTACACGAAAAATCCAAACTTTTACTTTGGCCCTAATTTTTCAATGGTAGATTCTAGGAATATCATATTTTAAATATCAAGTCTTTGTGACAAGAGCTTTCTGTTGAAACCAACAATTTAAACCTTTTGACCTTAGGAATTACGCATTTACAAGAAAACTTTAACTGGCCATAACTTTTAAATTGTAAGATTCATGTCTTTCAAACTTCACTTATATAGTCATTGCGAGAAGACCTTTCATTTGATATCAACACTTTTAACATTTTGACTTTGACCTTGGTTTTTGACCAACTTTCTACAAACAAATCAGAGTTTGTCTTATCTTTAAAAGCGCTTACCTTGGCCGTAACCTTTGAACAGGTGGTGCAAGGGTTTTCTATGTCATATTTGTATTTTTTTTGGAAAGCCCTTACTTTATGTACCAACATATGTGATCTGCATTTGAGAAACCTTAACCTTCGCTATGTTGCCAGACGGGGGCATCAGTGTTTCACAAACACATCTTGTTATTGCATGCTGTTGTTTCTTGGAAGGATTTAAGACGTAAACCCCATACACCTGGGTATATACGGAAACAATTAATTCATAACATGCTTTCATTTTTATCAAATGCATACAATAACAAAAATATTTTTGTCAAATTTCTCTACAATGCAATTGATTAAAAAATTGATACTCTTTAATCAAGAAATATGTAGATTATATTTTAACACCTTTGATAAAAAAGTTATTTAGATTTTTTTTTGTTTTCTACAAATCTGATTTTAAACTTTAAAAAAAAAACTGCACATTAAATCTGGAAATATATTTCTGCAGTGAATCAAAATTGTCCATTTCTAATTTAACCGATAAACATTATATTCCTTTGTTATTCAAATTGAAATAAAGTTTGGCCTAGGTTTGCTTATGCTCATTAGAAAATATTCTATTGTTACACATACCACGAAGCAAAAAAGATAATACTTTCCCTTCAAATGTTTACTGAATTTGGATACAGCGGATCAAATTTTATAATTTTTAGAGCATTCAGGATGTAAAGCAACAACTCATATTGTATCGGTGGTGTTTCAAATTTGAAGATGATATAATTTTTTTCTTGTCCTTTTCTGCAGAAGTTGATCTCAACGGTTCATTTGCATTTCGTGCCAATGTTTTGACATTTGACGACAATGAAAGACTCATTTTTGATAATTGGACACCAGTGACGTATCAGAACTGGAATCCTAACGATGAGGGCGAGACAGCAGTTGACCCAATCTTTGGCCTCCTTTTGACTTATCATAACGACGGCAGGTGGCGCTGGGTGACTGAGAGAAACTACACGTACTATACAGGAGAAGACGGACTAAAACTCCCCTTTATTTGTGAGGATTCTCCATTTTATTTGGAGCATGAAGAGTGTTCTGTTACATAATGATTCATTCTCTTTTAATTAAAATAAACATTTGCAACCATTATCTTTTGTTATATAATTTCATTAAGCATGGTGTATAAAGTTCTAAATCATTAAATGGAGTATTCTTAAGTTAACGTCGGATCGTATATTCGTCTCCTCGGAAGAGATCTAAATTTATCCTTGGATCGTACATTCCTCTCCTCGGAAGAGATCTAGGTTTATCCTCATGTTTTAAATAAACTATGAATAGCATGTACACAAAGACAGACAGTGCATTATATTGTTTCGTTATTTTCCCAAGGAAACTGACTGGGATCTCCTCTAACCATACATACAAACATTTTAGCACAAAGTGTTGTTTTTAAAATTTCTATCCGTAATCCAAAAAATAAGGGGCAAATATATTTTCCTAGGACGGTCGGTCCAGTTGTCTGTTTGTTTGTTATTTTTTTTTTCCTGATTTATCTGTAAGTGGTAAATCAATTAGCCCTGACTACAGCCTTTAATTGGTTTGAGCTATGAATTCCATATTTCACAGGTTTTTTCTTTATTTTGACGGTCAATTTCGAATTTGGAATTTGAGCCTTGGTCATATGAACTATGGCTTTAATATTTCACTGGTGTATTCAACGTGTAAAAACTTTTCCTAGGGTAAAAGTATTTTTGACTTTGATCTTTATGTTTGACTCACTTTTAAAGAAATTTTCAAAATTTTATTCTTAGCCATAGCTACTACACGGTTAAATCAAGTGATATCATACTCCTCACGCTTATATTTTGATAAGACCTTCTCTTGAGTACAAACAGTAATGACCTTTAACCTTGATCTTATGGATTTGACCTACTTTTCAAAAACGTTAACTTTGGACGTATTTACTGAGTATTTTGTGCTAGGGGTTAACTATTTTACGGCTTCATTTCTTGTGGTAAGAGCTTCTCTTGAATACCAATATTTTCTTTTTATATTTTTATCCTTTTATTTGGACATCAGACTTTGACCACCTTTTGAAAAAAAACTTTGGTGATAACTTTTGAATGGTTGATTTCGTGACTTTTATATTTCACCTGTGTATTCTTTCTGAAATTCTTTCGGGCATCATTAATATTGACTCCTTGACCTTGTCCAGTTTGACCTACTTTTGAAAATCTCTAACTTTGGTCATAATTACTGAACTGTTGCTGCTTTTATGGTTTTTATTTTAGAAGGTAGACTCATTGTGAGGAACGTTTATTTTGGTACCAAAACTACTTTTATATTGACCTTGGTGTTTGACCTGCAAACGACAACATTTATCATAAGCCTCTTTGTTTCACAAACTTTTCTTGAATTTTTATCATTAGCTCCTAAAACTTTTCCTATTGATTTAATAACAAATTTCAAGTTGTAGTCTATCAAATTTTTGGATATACTAGTATATAAACCATAGTATACACATTGCATAAAGGAGAATGACTTGTCACACATATTGAATCATTTTTTAAAGATGTAGTCTCATAATTACAAAAGTTTTAGCAAACATATTGATTAATGTTAGCTTGCTTTTTATTTGCAAAAGCAGTTGCAAATATAAGATAACATCTTTCAAAAAATAATGAATCAGTGCTTATTTTTTTCTAACTCCTTGTCTTGTTTTGCAATTTGATTTCTTCTTATAACTTACTTAAATTATCTCTAACCTAAATAAAAATGAATTAAAATGATTTCAAATTTTGCTTTTAATGTTTGTGAAGTCAAAATAAAAATTTTGTAACCTTTCAAATCTGTGATTTGAAAAAAAAAAAAAAACACAATAAAAAATTAAAGTATCAATATAAGTCTCTATAACGTATATTGTGCATTCAAACAGAAAGCTATTTTTTAATGATTATTTGTAGCAATAGAAGATATTGATCTTCAGAAAATATGATTTTTTTTTACTTTAAGCTCATAATCTAGTATCATGGAATATCTAGTATCTTTGCGTTTCTTGCCACACCTAAAATTCAAGCTATCTAAATATATTCATGGTATAATTAGATTTGTGGAAAGAAATATCAGTACGCCTCCCGGTTTCAAGTAGATTAATGGTCATTAAAAATACTGTGTTTTAAAAAAATAGGGATAAAAAAATTGTACCACAAAACATGATTATCAAACCTATGATTTTAAAAAAAATATATCTTAACATCTTTATTACAATGAAGCTTATTTTGTCCGACATGCACGGGGAACAGATTAAAAATATATGTGTTGGAATAAACAACGTGTAGTATTGCAGCGTGTAAAGATCATTGAGATAAGTATAAATGACAAATGAAATTAAATGGCTGAAATCACAGTAAAGAGTATTGCATGTGTCGGATTAAACAGGTTCCACTGTAATAGGTTTAACAATAAAGTAATCTTCATCCTAATTCTCCGCCCAGTTATCTCCATTTATCAGTGTTTGGAAAAAAAAAGAACGAAATATTTCTATTTTCAAATTTATTACAACACATATAAAATACATCTTTTACTGAATACATCCAGTATCGCTTTACAGAGCCGTTCAACCACCTTCTTTTACTGTTTGTTACTTGATGTTAAATATTAAAAAAAAGAACTCAGCGATAAAGATTAATTTAAAATCGTCTCTTGAGGGTTTCCATAATCCATGGATGATCTTTCGTCTGTCAAAAAAAAATTAAATTAATACTTCACAGATAAATGTATGATAACATTATTTTTTATTAAAAAAACAACTTTTATAACTGAAAGTTTCAGATTGATACAAAAAGAAAAAAATGGATATTAAGATGTAATGATGTTTACCTAGTTCCGTCTGATCATCATGGTGGTCCCCTTCACTGATGTCCCATTCTTTACTGTGGGATACCATGGTCTGGACCAGGACTCCGGGGACCATTGACCGTTAAGGAAGGCTCGGTGACACTCATTGAACCACCAGCCTCCTCTACGGATACTGCCAGCAGCACAGTTACCACCAGTATGCCCGTCGTTGTCCCTGTCTGGTGTACTGAAGGACATCCCAGACAGATCGAAGTTAGAATAACCTGTGTCCAACATACTGTCTCCTGTAGAATTAAAAAAGAAAAATATACATGGACACTTGTTTAAAATAGATCAGTAGATTTATATCCACTATACTCGTCGTTACCTCTGTCTGGGTGGAGAAGAACATCCCAGACAGATCGTGGTAAAATAAAACCTGTATTTAACATACTGTCCCCTGTAAAATCAAACAAAAAGAATCACAAAGTTAATTGATTTATATATTTTTAATCTAATTGTCAATAATAATACTGAGGTACTTCTAAGATAGACGGCTTTAGGTGCTGGGTAGAGCGATAATATTTATTTAGTTCAGCCGTAGAATCCCTGGTGTCTATCATACTGGCATCTGCAGAACAAGATAAAATATATAACAGAGATAATGATTATTAATTTACATCACATTAATCTTAATACTGAAGTACGTCTGAAATACATTGTTTAACGTGTTGTTTCCTGTACGGAGAGGTAAAAATAATACAAGACAACAAAACACTGCGCAATTCACATAGCATCCTTTCTAGTGTAATAATAAACAACAGACGTGTTACACTTTTTAAGCATGGTATTATTGGGGGGGGGTTAAAGGTCATTTGAAATTTTAGAAAATATGAAAAAATGATATTTTAATATTTGTCCGAGACCGTGCCTTCAAACATGTATAACATGCAATACTAAGTAAATCATTAATAACGAGATAAGATATGGTGTATCTGTGAATGTTTTAAGATGGTAGATTTCCTATTAAATAAATGTAAATGTGAAACACGTTGAGATCTTTTTGAATTTGGCTTTTTAAGCTTTTTTATTTGAATATTTATCCAATCAAAATGTTTTTATCATCAAATTTTCGTAATCCTTTCGACATTTAAGATTAATGACGCACTGTAAACTTCCTATTCCTTAGTAGTAAAAATGTGAATCATTGAAAATCAGACTATCATACTCTGTAAACTTTTTCCGGATTAGATAAAATGTAAATTATCAAAAATTATCAGGAAACCCAAGCTGTAAAACAATGTTGAACATTGGATGTTATTAAAAAAATTGATAATTTTTTGTACATAAAATGTTAAAAAAAACTTAACAATAATAAATCAACTTTTTCTATGCTTAAATATTTAACATTAAAATGTATAAGAAAAGTATTATTATAATGATATACGTAATTTGAATTTAATTTTAAGAATTTAACATGAATACACTTACCTAAAGTTCCCATGGCAGGTCCTGCAAGAAAGAGTTGATATTTTCCTGCTTCGTCGGAGACAGAAAATCGGTCGTACATTTCATACGGAGTTGAACCATTCTGGAGAGTGATGGACACATACAGGGATGAGGTGTTTTTTTTTGTTAATTTATGGATTACGTCATTTCCTGTACAAAGATATATTTGAAATTATCTGAAAAGTTCATCGAATACAATTAATGTTTTAAAAATCTATATGAATCTACCGTAATGAAAAATCAAATTATTTTCCGTAGCTGTAGACAATATCGCTAAATTTGGTCTCATTAGAATATGTCGCTAAATGATATTCTTCATTTCTATTTTTTTTTATTATTTGAGATATCAATTAAGCACGATATGTGATTATCATAGAACACACATTACCTAGTCTTAAATTTAGATCTTTATTACGCATTATAATTTTTTACTTGCCTCAAGAATCTTTTTTATCTCCAAACTTTGAAGGAATAAAACGCTCTTATCTGAAATCAATTTACACTTACCAATCCAGACATTCTGTTCTGGTGAACCAAAACCATTCTTATAATCCATCCAGTTCCTGCCAAAGATCACGGATCCGTCTATGCGTTTCTGAATTGCCTTTGAGAATTAACATGCGTAACAATTCAATTTATTTCTTCGAACATTCATAGAATCCATATGTTTTAATATAAACTAGAATACAATCCAACAACCCTTAAAGTAACCAAAATAATGTGAGTTATATTAAGTACTTTTAATTCTAAAATAAACGACCTACCGTCCATCCCCCACCCATTGTGGTCATATCGCAATACACACTGACCGGTATTGTTACTGTACCGTAGGGGTATATATCATATACCCCTGTCATGTTTTGTCCGTTTTCTAGAAGATCCTTGCAATCTTGGGGCATGCTAGGAAAGTCTAAAAAAATTACCAGAGTCATACAATGTATATGCACAAGAAGTAGGAAGATATATAATGCCTGTATGATATATAATTGTTAATTGTTGAAGCTAAAATGTTAACAACATGCATAATGCATATTATGTTAAACTGTTCCTCATTATCTAAAACATTTTTGTTTTCTAATTGACACAAATCTTTGCTTAAGGACATGATTAAAAGTATTTCAAAATTAAATACAAGTATGTTCAATACTCTGTTGATTGAAAGAATTGTAAAAGAGGAATACATTTGTAGATAAGATGACACACAATTTAGACACTGAAAGATATTTTGAAAAATGTAGTAAAATCATGATATATTTTATGCATGATGCAATGTATGTGAAATCGAACTATTCATAGATTCTTCGGTTGATACAATGACCATGTTTTCCAACACTTTCTATCGTATCAAACTTCAACAGATTGTAAGTCGAAAAAAATGTAAAAGATAAAGAATTGTGTCCTCTCAAGATGGATCTAAAAACACAAAGAAGCAAACAGAAAAAAATAACCAATATACATACCATCATCCGAGTAGTATCTCCAACCGGCCTCATCAGACAGTCCAGATGTAAGACTTTTCTTGTGGGTTCGACATTTCTTCATTTGACTGTTGAATCCAAAGAAAACGCACTCTCTTTGACATATCGCGGCGCACTCAGTTAACGAATAAGCATTATGCTCCCCTAAAAGTTCATAGTTTGACTTCTTATCATTAAGTTCGAGTTTCGCTTTATATTTCTGAGAAATAATAGTAGCTTTAGATAAAGCTAAGAAGCCTACAATTAAAGTGATAACCCACAAATTGCTCATTTTTTATGTTGCGCAAAAAACTGCCGCGTTCTTGTGAATCTGTAGAAATTCTGCTAAATGGTCTTTCAACAGCCAGATATATATATATCGTACCATAATCACAGTCTGCAATGTGATTGGCTAACTGTTACGTACTCTATATTTCACTGTTTTAAGTATCGATTTTATCAAAGTTCATATGAATTGTCATGAATTGTCATAAACGCTTATTTTAAAATTGCAATTTAAATATAAAAATGAAAGGTGTGCTGTTTTTAATTTAGTTAATGCCTGTTATGTTATGATGTTGTACAGTGTTTTTTTTATTAGCTATCTTTAAAATATGGAATTTGATATCTATTTTCCTTCATCCACTCAAACTGAATGAAATTAGAAATCAGCAATTTTGAAATAAAATTCAAAGTAAAATTATCTGATTCTAAGACATTAAGAATATATTGAATATATTGATTTTTCAACTTTGATACATTAGCCAATAAATGTTAATGTAACACAATACATGTACATCATCATTGGTTTATTTACTTTTGAGTCTTAGAGAGACATACATTTGTAAAATACAATTATAATAGAATTCTATAAGACTACTTTTAAGCCCGTTAAAAACTTTTTAAAATGAAAAGTACTAACGGTAGATGTTCAAAATAAAGAACCGTAATGCGTAATGCCTGGAGCCCGGGGAGGGGTGCTTAGCCATTATATAGACAGTGAAAGTTGAGATTTACCTTTTCTATTAGCCCCTCCCCCTCCCCACATATTGGATGCATGAAAGCATGACGTCAATCCATGACCTAGTATATTACAAAGATATATATGTAGGATTAAGTATTCTCATCCAACGGTAATTCCTACTGTGTGTCCCATGTCATGATCGAGCAAATCGAAAAAAAAATGGACAATTCAGTGTTATACAATCATAATGACGAATTGTATATAAAATGTGAGTTTACTTTGGTCTTAATCATGAACTATATTTTATATGACAGGGTCATTGTATCAAACACAAAACTTACGAAATTCTCACTTAAAGCGAACTATTGATTCAATTGACTTACCACATATTTCTACCAGTTAGCCTAGTTTTTGAAACTGCGAAAAACAGGTCTCTTAGGAATGGATCTTTAAGCCTTCACTAAACAATGTCGTGTGTAATGTTCTTTAAAAAAAATTATGAAAATAGAAATTAAACGTTATGAAATAGTTTTTATAATACGAGTATCACTAGGTTAGCAAATACGTGAAGAAAAAATATACATGTGCAATTTTAAAAGCAGTTACAGTATAAAACTTTAAATACCCCGATTTTTGTTCGTTCAATAAATGTAAGAAAAGGGTTATTTAAAAAAAGAATCACAAAACCTATGCATGATATCAATGCCTCAATTTGAGCATTGGACATCAACATAATAAGTGGTGTTGTAATGAAATCTATAAGAAATTGTGGTTGTAATGAGCCTCTTCAAATTCTATGTGCCGTTCAATAATGGATAGGAAATCAGAGGGAAAACAATAGTAGTAGTCAATATATATGTAATATACTGTAAACGAACTTTTATTCGCGACGACTTATTTTCGCAATTTACCGAGAGAAAACTAGTTTGCGACGATTTATTTTCGTGATCAAGCCTTTTTGGAACAGTTTTAGTGGAAAAACTTTAGTGAAGAGACTTTAAGAACGTGTTCGCGGCGAGAAATATTCGCGATGACGAGGCTCTCGCGAACCTCAGGAAAATTTCTCGCACGCGAATAAAAGTTGGTTTACAGTATTTTAACTTCGTTTTCTTTGATTTTGATTAAAAGCTTAAACAGAGGCAAGAGGTCGCGGAAGTGTAAGGATTTCCAAACTCTTTCTTTCTTTTTTTTTTTTTTTGGAAATTCGTAAAATTTTAGATGGTTTTCACTTCTTAAAAAATAGAGCACAAGCTTATTTTTCTCTGATTTTTATATATAAGATGCTTCGGATTCAAGCGTTGTTTGGAAAGTTCGTGGACTAATGCTTTAAAATTAAAATCGCCTAAGATACATGTATATCAATGAATTATCTAGCGTTTAATTAGCATCAACTTTTCTATTTATATATTAAACAATGCATCATTACTTATTTTTTTTTAAATGCATTGTTGATGTTTTTGGCAATGCTATGTCCTGGCGGGCCAAACACTAACCTAAATGCAACATTTTTTTTTATATTAAAACCTGTTATTTAAAAAAAACGATAATTCCCTCATGCGTTAATACAAATTTATACCTCAAACATTGCAATTTTAGCACCTTTTTGTAAGTCTATGAAGTTGCATAGTAATTTTATTAAAAAAAAAATCTCCAAACAATTTATGAGATGTAATGACGTCAGAAAAGAGGATGGGTTTCTTTTTTTCTAACATGTTATAAAGTTTCATCCCCCTGGAAAAAAAAACTGGCATAGACGTAAGAACTATTTAAATAGCACATTGAATAATAAAATGCATTCAAATAACTTGTTTTTAAATACCAAAAAAGATTAAAGAGACGAAAAAAGTGAAAGTTAATGCCGATTTCTAGTGGTGTCCAAAGTGTGTCATGTAGAAAAGTTATGTTGATCATATATGATTGACGTGGAACGCCGACAATCAAATATGCTGTTTTAATTCAGTTAGAATCTTTCACGATGTATAAATCTATTTGAAATAACATATTCATTAAAATCAGATATTCATGACATCTTTAAATTTATATAAACAAGACGAGTTTAAATCCTTCCTTGCTTCCAATGAATCTCATCAAGATAAGTGTATTAGGTAGAGAATGTGCAAATGGAGAAACAATGACGTCATGCAACAAAATGGCGACTGCGCCGGGTGAAAAAAAATGTCTTTTTAATTTATGATAATTCGCCGGTTGAAAAAAAAAATGTATTCTTAATTTATGATAATTTTTTGGGGAAAAAATTAAAGTATCAAGCTAAATTTTCAACATTTTTCTAACTTTTGTTGTTTTATGTTCCTTAAAAATATTTTAAGTATAAACTAACTTCATAGTATTAATTTTATCGCATCTGCCTTTAAATTTGTTGAACAACCTTCGCATAAGTGTATGATTGAATGATTGATTGTATTTTATTTAACGTCCCATTCGAGAATTTTTCACTGATACATAGTCGTTACCGTATACCGGTGAAGAGTTTCAAATTTAGATCTATACTTGGCACCCAGGTCCAATGAGCAATGAGGATTCTTTATCGTGTCAACGCATACCGTGACACGGGACCTGCGTTTCTGATGTCATATTGGAAAGACCCGCGACTTTCACTTCTAGTGCCGAGGGCTTGGAAAAGGAACTACCTGTGGTTACGCCTTAGGTTTAACGCGGCTTTGCCAACTAGGATAGAACCCAGTTCTCCCGATCACGAGGTTAACTATCTACCAATATAATGTATTTGTTGACATGGCCATCGACCATATAACTTTGAGATATGAAAACTCCGTATGCAGGTGATGAATGTATATTGCTGCTTAAGTAAGGAAATTGATGATAGAAGAAATAAAGTCATAACGTTTATCATAGAGCTTTGGTGTTAGACTACAATTAGCTATACCTTCTTTATTTTAATAAAAGTCATACTTTCTTAGATTATATGGTCGATAAATAACTTTGTCAGCATATCAATAAGTCAAATGCTGACTGAAAGTTTTTTGTACTAATTTAAAACTATTATTTACACACTATATTGTCGATAGAATTTTGTATTTTCTCGTTATAGTCCGATTATGACATCGAGTGTGAGCGTTCGGCAGAGGGTGCTCACTCCTATAGGCTCCAACGTCTAAGATTTTAGAGGTTCGAGTTTGCTCTGCTCCAAACTTTGTAATTTTATGTGGTCTTTTACGAATTTCAGTATTGTTTGTTATCTCCATATTTTTCATCCAACTACAAACTCCTTTTGATTTCCTTTCCAAAAACCCCTCTAACGATTTTGTCCAAAATGTGCATACACAGTTTACACACAGTAGATATAGTCATGGATTAAATATACAAAAATAGCGGAAATTAAACGACTGTACTTTTTTTGGGTTGTGGA